TTAATATATCTGTCACGTTAATATGAAAAAGATAACCTTAAAAAAGATAGAGATTAAAATGATTAAAAAACTATAAGTATAAAAACAAAATATATATTTGAAACTATAGAGATTAAAAAGAAATGAAAAAATCAGTATAGGAACTAAATGATCTATTTTAAACTATAAAGACTAAAAAATAAAATATGTGAAACTATAACCTATTTTATATTCTAACTAATTAGATCAAATATAAATTTTCATATCATTCCAAAATCATCTTGTAGTTCATTAATTAATTACATCATATTATTGGATAATATATATGAATTTTTTTTATACTATAGCATAGATAGAAGTATTTATCAGCTTGATCGAAGATTAGTCTCCTTTAAAATCTTAACTATAAGAAGGTTATTCTTCCCAATGTCATTTTTTTAAATCAAAATTTAAAGAAATTTAAAGACTTCACTGTAATACTAATAAGATCGATGAATGTTGGTGTAAAATTATATGATTTAATGGTCATATTAGTGAAATTTACATTTTAAAAATAAAAGATTATTAAAAATATAATTTTACTAACTTTAAAACCTAATAACTTCGGACTCAAAGAAGTTCTTTTCTTATTACTCATTATTATTCATCGGAGGAATGCTAAAAAAATTCTATTTTACACTGCACCATGCAATTTGTTGAAAATAGGAGCACAGGAATTCCATATATGTTGTTCTATAGCACTGTGCGGGCAAGTTCCTTTAAAAATTGCTTGATTGCAAGTTGTTCAGTTACTGTTGTCGGATGCATTCCTTTTTCTCACAAATATCTTCCATATAAGACAATGTTAACACATACAACATTATCAAATTGAACGTGAACGCCTATTACAATTAAGACTTGAAATAATGATTTTACTAGAAATCAGTCCCTAGTCTCATATTGCATGGTTGCTTGTTATTATTGTTTTATACTTTATATAGTGGAGTGAGTGGAAGAGAAATGAGATGGGAAATCAAGCAAGCCACCACAATAGAGAGACCATGAGATTAGCATTTCCAATAAACCTCCATTGAAATTGGAAGTGGGGGTTGAACTAATTAGGATATGTTTAGTTTGCCGTTGAGGCACGCAAACTAATGTTTAATTCTCATCAAATGTTGTACCCATTTGTTTGGTAATTTTTTTGTATGTTATATTAAATTTTGTTATTTTTAAAATGTAAGTTGCATTCAAAATAATATTTATGTTGCTTTTTCATTGAACGAAAAATTTTTGTTGAACAAAAAATTTCGCTAAACTTAACTTTTTCAACTTAAATCCAAACACACACTTAACTTGTTTCAAAGTTGTTAAAGTGTGTAGGACACAAACAGTTGTTTAATTTCTACTTAACCTGGGTGGCAAAGGCAATAACACTTGAAGTATGATGAATGGTATAGTAACATCCAATAACAATAATTGTGTGTGTGTTAGGAATAAGGAGTATTCATATTTTTCAAAAATTAAAACCCAATAAAATTGTCTGTTTTATAAAAGGAGATCGACTAACTTATTTTATTTTATTTTTATAAAATAAACCAGTTTAATTTTTTTAAAATATAGATTAATCTTTTTGAATTAGATCTGTTTGATATAATATAATTATTCATTTTTTTACTTATATATAGATAAATTCTTTTTAGAAAACCAAATCAATCTAGTCTGTTTTGTAAAAATTAATTGATTAATTGAATCGATTTTATAAAATATATCGGTTAAAAAAAAATAGAATAGATCAAAATTTTCGATACATATCAAATTAATTAAGAATTCATTCGAATCAATTTAAATTTTTTTAATGCCCTTAAATCTAGCTAGCTACGCCGCCAACAATTTGAAGTTTGTCTTAATTTAAGTTGCATTCTCACCAGAAACGTCTCATCAAACTAGCCATAGTGGGGGTGTGTGGTTGTGTCACAGTACTATTCATGGTGCCAAGTGCACATTTGTAATAGAGCACGGCATGCAGAAGAAAAATTCAAAGATACTCTCACACTTGCACAGAGAACGTACAAATTGGATATAATAAATTAAATAATTATTGTATATTAAATTTATTAAAAAATATTAATATTTTAAAATTTGGACACTGTTTCGGTTTACTTTTTCGGAGTCTGTAGCATTTCTCAAAGTATATTCTTCTTACATTCCTAATTATTGTGCAGGCTTAATTATATTTTTGCTTTTTTATTTTGTATTAACAGTTAAGAGAAATTTGGTACATTTAAATATAGTGAATGCTTCATGCGATCGACTTTATGAGCAATAACAATCTTCGATGATAGGTAGGGAACTCAATTTACGAACGATCCAGCTAATTCATAAATAACATCAAGTTAGAACTTTAAAAAATAATTTAAATAAAATCTGGTTATTTTATCTTAATTTGTTAAGTTCAACACATCAAATGAGTTTAAGTTAAGGTTTACTAGTAGACTTACACGGACTGATTTGTTAAATTAATAAATAGAATAATTTAAATTATCATAAATATGTAAATTTGTAATATATTATGAAATAATAAAATAAAATATAATAATATTATGATAGTAATAGTTTTTCACTCTTTTTCATTTTCATACAAAGTTATGGTTATAAATTTAGATTTAAAGTTAATCATTATGAGAGTTTTGACTCTTATTGTGTCTTTAATGGTTTGACCTCCATGACTCGTGTTTTATATTTTGTTTGTTGAAAAAGACGAAGATGCAAATATACACACTTGTGCTCATAGAGTGATGATAATAACTCATCGTAAACTCTCAAATCATGAAATTATAGAGTATCACTTTACTTTGTGAACCAATGATATTTTAGGTTAAATAGTTTTAGCCTCTCAAGTAAGAATCATTTTTTTTTGTCTCTTTTCTTGTTGTTTTCTTATCTTATTTCAATTATCATCCGTACAAAAATAACTAGGTGTTTCATGAGAGTATATAATACCATTTAATCATGTTATATAAATTTTGTTTTTTTAATGTAAAAAATATATTTAATTTTTTAAATTTTATTTTTTAATTAGGTCAATTTGACTTGATAACTCATCATGGGTCAAGTTGAACGAAAAAATAACAGCCTAAAAAAATATAGGTTATACTAACCTAATCTAAAATTGCATTTGGCATATGTAGATCACGTTTGGTCGAACTAGTTCAATCTGTTTGACACATGTATTGAGAAGCATTAATAGTTTGATTTGTTTTTACAAATCAAATAAACAAACTTCTAAATATAGTGAATAACTCTCCAAATTTGTTTTTACAAATTAGTAAATTTAATCTTTTTCTCAATATTCTCTTTTTATGTAAAATCCTTAAATTCTTTATTTGGTTCTTGCTAAAATTCTCTAACTCTGGTTATTTATAATTTGCTAAAATCCTTAAATTCTTTAAAATATATTATATTGTCATTTTTTTATCAAAGAAATACATCACATGGTATATCCTTGTAAGTTGTAATATAAATGTTAAAAAAAAGGTATATGTGCAATCTCAAGAAACTACATAAGTGTTCTAAAATTAATTAAAAAAGATGTCATAGGATGTTAGACTAGGGTTTGAAGAGGAGAAATTTTGAGTTTTGTTTCTTGAAATTTGATATTTGATGAGCTTTGAATAGATTTAAGATAATTTAGTTGGTTCAATTTGCAAAATAAATGCATAGGAGATAACAATTTAAGGGTTATATTTTTTTTATAAATAGTAAAAATTAATTCAAAAATATTAAATTCGTTTGATAATTATATTATTAGTGTGAAATATTCATCAATTTTATCAATGACTAATATCTGCTAAAAAAAATCTAGCTAAACTTTTATTTGACTATTTTTTATCAATTACATTAATTCTATTTTATGTAAGAAAACTCAATTCAATTATATTTAAATCAATAATTTATTAGTTAGATATCATATTTTTTTTAACATTTAAAATAAAACTTAATTGAAAATCAAAATTATACATTATTAAAAAAGGCTAAAAGTGGAATTAGACTTATTATCTAATAATTTTAAATTATTAAAAAAATCTCGTTGTAAAAAGATAAAATGCAAATTTTTTTATTACAAATTTTTCATGTAATTATTACAGTTTTTTTTTCCTCTCTTTTTAGTAACAAAGCTTTACTTAATGAATTTGTCATTGCTGCATTCTCGAAACTTGAAGTCAATACAATGGCTAAGTTAGAACTTAGAATAGCTCATCTAATTGCTAGTCTCCGCACCTAATAGCCGTGACATGTATTTTTTGAACTATTGTATCACTATATTGAAAATTTCTTTTTAATTAGTTATTCAATTGAAAAAAGAAAACAATTTTCTTAATTCTTTAGTTAATATTAAATTTAAAGTATTATTAAATATAATAGGAATATTTACAAATATTTATTAATTATGGATGTTTTATGGTTTAGCCAATTTTAAAGATATTGGACCAGTTTGTTTAAATTTATAAAAAAAAAAATGAAATGTTTAAAAAAGTAATTTTTGTATGAAATAGAAAAGTACATAGCTCAATTGGTTGAAAATGGTACGTGAATTTCTTTTGGTACCAACTACTGAGTCTGATTCCCATGATGAAAAAAGCTATAATTACACGAACTGTATAAATTATTTTACTCATAAATATATAAATGGTAGAATTTGTGAACAAAAGTATCACATGACATAATATAAGAGATTCAATTGAATACATAATTTAAATAGATTCACTTACAATATGTTGCAGAAATTGGGGTATGTGTGGTCCTATAAAAGATCGAGAAAGAGAATCTAGGGGGAACATAATCATTTACATGTTTAAAATTTACATTAAAACATTTTTAGTCTATACTTCCACATGTTCCCATTAAAAATTAAAAATTAAAAATTAATTACATAACCAACTAATAATATTAATATTGCGTAATTACAACTTCCCCAATCCTTCAAGGCCTATATATACCCCTTTGCAGACACAATATTTTGCAACCACATTCGAATCTAATTAAGATTCTCCTCTAGAACCTCTCATCACTCTAAACACACAATGGCGAATTTGAAGCTTGTGTTCACCATCAGTTCCATTCTTCTAGCATTGGTGTTTTCCAATGGAGTTGTGGGAAGGCCAATGAAAAAGGGGCACGTGACAACCTACGAGAACATGGTCAAAGAATTGGGTGCAGCCGCAGGAGATAGTGTTCCCCTGTGGCGCCGCAGCATCATGGAGAATGCACCGGACTCCCACAGTCCACATGATGGTGGTGACGGCAGAGTTGAAAAATGGATCGATGATTTCCGACCGACGGATCCAGGTCACAGTCCCGGTGCTGGCCATTCCTCCCCAACCCCCAAGGGTCCAAGGCCATAGGGTCTACATATCATATCATGCTCCTGCATTGGTTACCTTCATGCATTAATTAATAGTAGTATTTCATTGTTCATTATGCAAACAATATGGCTAATTATATATCTATGTCATAAAACAGGGGGTTAGGTTCGATCTTTAAAAGAAGAAAAAATTAATTTCAATATCATGTGTATTATTAGTGTTGTATTCTCTAAATAAAATTAGACTTTCCATACATTAGTAATCAATATTTATAAATATTATTGTGATAAAATTCTAATTTTTATTAGAGAACAACATCAATAATATTTATAATATTGTATTTAAGTATTTTCTTTTTAGAATTTGTGTGTATTAAAAGATATTTGTTAGAAAAGTTTAGTGATACCTTTTAGGCTGAAAAAAAAAATCATAGATGATGCTTTGTGGGTACTTTTTAGGTCTTTTAATTTGTGTAATTGTAAATTATGTCACTATTGCTAGCATCTTGGAAAGGCAGCAATTGTTTTTTAGTTCTCAGTTTGTTTTTATGTCTTCTGTTGAATATCGATGTATACATTTTGTCATTATTAAATAATAATTAATGTTGGTTAAATAATGTTTAAGCTATTTCCTACATAATTTTTTTATGAATATATATATATATATATAGGAGGGTTATAATTATACTAGTGTAACTTTTACTAAATATTACACTGCTTAATAACTTTATATTAATTATGAATTTTGTAAATCTAACTGTTAAAAGTAGGGATGACAAATATACTCGTACTCGCAAGTAATACCCGTACCTGTCCCGACTTTGACGGGAAATACCCGGTTTGACCGGGTACGGGTACGGGTAAAACCCAATATATTAAATCGAGTACAGGTACGGGTACGGGTATGTACTTACCCGCCCCGTACCCGTACCCGTACCTGTCCTCGTTCTCATTTTTAATTTAATACTCACTTTCAATTTAATTATATTAAAAAAATTTAATATTTTTTTTATGTGTGATTATTTATTATAATATGAGATAAAGAAATAATCTAATTATAATTATAATATAATAAAAAAATTAATTTAAAAATATCATTTTTTTATAACCAAAAAAAAAAAATTGACGGGTATGGTACGGGTAAGGGTATATCCGATACCCGACGGAGACGGGGATGAGGATAAAAATCTATACCCGACGAGTATGGAGACGGGGACGGGGATGGGTTGAACTCGCGGGGACGGGGACGGGTATCATGAAACCCGTACCAAACCCGCCTTGTTGCCATCCCTAATTAAAAGTTTATAACACTTTATACGTGTATATCAAATTTTGTTAAAATTGAGATAAATTGTAAATATATTTATGATAATTTACCCTTAAATAGGAAAAACCAAGTTTATATTAGAAGATAGAAGAGTAGTAGAAATTTAATGGTAATTTTCTCCCTTGTTTGCAGAAAAATTGAGGAAGACATAATTCTACAGCCATAGCTATGGGCTCACAACTAGAGCCATGGAGCATTGAAGATCAAGAGGAGTTCTAGAGAGTCACAGCCATGGTTGTGGATTCCACAACTACAGTGTTGGAAGTTGCTTAAACATGAAGGAGTCTTCACAGCCATGGCTGTGATTCCACAACTGCAGCGGAGAAGCTTACTTCAACATGAAGAACTCTCCACAGCCATGGCCGTGGTTTCATAGCTGCGGCACTGGACTCAAAATTTTCATTTTTCCCCTGTTTTGAAGGCCAATATAAAAGGGGATTGAGGAGAGAGATAGAGGATCACGAGTTGAACAGAGAGAACAAAGAGAAAGCTCTTGAGGAAGGAAAAACAAGGTTTGAAGGTCTGAGGTGGATCACTTGGGAACGAGGATGAACTCTTTTTCTCCATCTTTTCCTTTGTAATTTCTTTTTCTTTTCCTTTGATCTTGTAATGGCCATGAGTGGCTAGACTCTTTAGGATTGGATCTGGTGTAACTACTAACTCTTCTTCTTCTTGAATATATATGCATTTCGTTTCATTACTTGTATTTGATTATTCTCCTAATGCTTATATCAATTTGATCACCCGTTGTACACTACACCAAAAGTGGCATTAGATAGCGCTATTTAGAGAGCGCTTAATTAATAAGTGTTGTGTTTTAAAACATAAAACATTAAAAGAGCGCTTAATTAAATAAGCGCCATAATAAAGTTTTATATAGAGAGCGCTTATTAAAAAAAATGTTATCTTTGTATTATTTTATTTATTAAAAAATATGTTATAGCACTTTTTTAAAAAAGTGCTTTCTAAAAAAAATAAATAGATAACGCATTTGAATATAAGCGTTATTTATAAGATTTTATAAAAAGTTTTATATAGAGAGCGCTTAATAAAAAAATGCTTTCTTTGTGTTATTTTATTTAGAAAAAATATGTTATAGCGCTTTTCTAAAAAAGAGCTTTCTAAAGAAAATAAATAGATACCGCGTGTGAATAGAAGCGTCATTTATAAAATTTTATAAATTAATTATTTTTTAAATAAATTATTATGGCGCTCATTGAAAAATCAGTTTTGTAAATAAATAAAAACAAAGCACTTATTAAAAAAAAACGCTTTCTATTGGTCCCTCACGCTTTTTATTAAAAAAATTAATCTGAACAAATTTTTATTCACGCTTTCTATTAATTGGTCCCTCACGTACGTTCACATTGTTATACTGTTCAGATTTTTATTCACACTTTCTATTAATTGGTCCCTGATCACGTTCACATTGTTATTCACTGTTCAGATTTTTATTCACTGTCTCTAGCCTTTCGGTTCTTTTCCTATTCTCTAGCCTCTCGGTTCTTTTCTTATTCATTGTCCCTCTCGGTTCTTTTCTTATTCACTGTCCCTCTCGACCTTCATGCCATAATCATCTTTATCCCTCCCGATTGTGAAATCTTCCTTCACCATCGTTGTTGTTCGATCGTAAAGTGTATCTCAAGTTACGCTCAGCAATCACGTTATTGACTCATATTTCAGGTTTTTATCATTAGGTGTTTTTTTTTTGTTTCTTTATCGAATATTTTTTTCCATTAATGCTTAACTTTGATACAAGTTTGAAAAAAATATTAAATTTCGTTTCTTTTCTTTCTGTATATTAAATTTTGTTTCTTTTCTTTCTGTACTTTTTCTTTAATCATTTTTCTTTGATCAATAGATGAATGCAATGCACCGTGACAAATTACGTGATGAAGACGTTAATTTATGACAAATTTTAAGATGCTAATCTCTTCCATGGAAAAATCTAGGGCTTTTTTTTGCAAGATTCATCCTTGACTAGACTTTTTGCAAGATTCATTGAAGTTACATTCGTTTCTTCTTATAAGAAATAAAAAAGGTGAGTTCTTGTATATGCGATTACCTTCTTTTAGTCAAATATTGCATTTATTTTTTATTTTTATATTTACTATTTTTGTTTTTAGTTGCGAGTTTGCTGCGAATGATGTATGATGGATTTGTGTTGTTTTGAAATTTTAATAATTAGACAAGATTATCTCTGCTTTATTGCATTCGAATTTCTGGTTTTGTAACCTTTTACACTTACTATTATTGCATTCTTTCTGTAACCTTTTATACTTACCACTGTGCCACCGAATAAGAAGGGGCTTGGTTCATAGGGTTGTAGTGATTGGTAATCTGCATATTTTACAAAAAAACATTCAATTAATCACAAGACACAAATGCACAAAAAAAAAAA